CATTTTCACTTCCAGAATTACAGAATAGACAGACACATATATATGCTCTGTTCACATTGCCTGGAACTGCACTGTCCCATTCTTAGATCCATAGAATCCAGGTATTTTTGTAAGTCTTAAATTGCATTACTCACAAAAGGTATGTCTACCTACAAAATACTATTTATTACAACACGTTTATGGTTGTTTACTTCATGCCTTTTAATGTTTTTTTCACTCTGCCCTTTTCTCGTCTGGCTACACTTTGATTTGTGTTACATTAATTTTGTTAAGGAATAGACCTGCTTCAGCCATTGCACCTGTAAATGTCGAGTGGGGGTTTGGCCTTAATTCGTTCACTTAATTTTGCCATAATTGAGATTTCTTCTCTTGTAATTTCCAAACCTGTACACCCAGACAGTGACAGAAAATTCACGACAGGAAAAATCTTTCTTATTCCTGTGTGTACAGGTGTAACAAACTGGCAGAGGTCAGCTCTGGGATCCACCTGAACAATCTGCAATTACCTCTTCCCCTGTGGGTCCCCTGAGGAGCTCTACTGCCTCCTGTCTGTGTAGGTGTAACTGATAGAGATGTGCAGCCAGGTGTCAGAAAAGGGATTTTTGTTTATAGCCATGATTCTAAAAAGTGTAATTCTTCCTCCTTGAACACCAAGCCCTTCACAGATTTCACCTGAAACTGCTCGTTCAGCTGGGAGGGGCAGGCAAAGAGATCTGCAGGAAAAAGGAATTCACTCAGTAAGCTGAGAGCATTTGTAATGAGTGAGGTGTGAATCCTGCTTCCTTATCCCTGCTCCCAGGACTGCACACAATCACCAGGTTCATAAAACAAAAAGCAAACTTCAGATGAGAATGTATTATTGAGTCTGGAATCCAGATTTCTGCCGTGCCAGTACTGAGGTGCTTTGCAGAGCAGCAGGGAGGAGAAGCACAGGGAGTGGCTGGGGAGGAGGTGCAGGAGGTACAGATGGAACCTTGCACCGTGGTGACACCTGAATTAACTATCACAAGAGTGGCTAGAAAAGGCTCACTGTGAGTGAGGAATGCTGTACCTTGCACAGCAGTGTCAGTAATGCACTCTCCTCAGGGCAGACATGCACCTGAAGGAGCACTTTGGTCACCTGGATGGGAGCTGTGTCCTTCCTCACCTCAGGAAATGTCCCAGTGCACTGCCAGCCCTCACGGATGGTCCCGACTGGGGCTGCTCAGGTGGACACAGGCCTGGCTTTGGGCAGCACTGCCACAGCTGCTCCTCTGCTGAGCCCAGCTCTGAGCAGGCACAGGGATACACGGCTGGCTTAGCACTGGTTTGTAGTTGTGCCTCCTGTGCAGTGCCCTGGCAAAGCTGCAGTTAGAGGGGGGCTGGCAGCACCTGCTGAGCTCACACCAGGCCTGCTGCTGGCACAATGGTCAGAGCCTGGAGCCCAGGGCTGCCAGTAAAGATTGCAGCTGAGCAGTGCAGTGCTGGGCACTGTGGCTGTGTGCTGGGCTGGGCTGGGGGCAGCTCCTCTGCTTGCAGACAGAGCAGTTCCTCTGCCTGGAAAAGGAGCTGGCAAAGAGGTTTTGGAGCTGAAGTAGAAGTTTCCATTCCTGTAAGAATTAAGAGCATCACTGCTTTTCATAGTGCAATTCCAGAGTGAAGGAAAAGAGAAAAGAATGCCCCATCCTGGTGCCTGGTAAATCACTGTGGTTAGGCTCAGGCAGACAGGGATGGAACTGCTCTCAGTCTGTCCTGGCTTGGAGCAAGAACAGTGAGATGTGAGAGGCTCCAGGCTCTCTTCCACAATTACCCCTGACCCTTGGTGTTGTATTAACACTGTCCAACTTCTTTCCTCCTGTGATTGTACCTTTCAAGAAATACGGGGGTGAAGTTTTGGGGTTTTTCCCCCTATATCTTTGTGGAGATACTTCAGACTGCTTTCTTTGTACATAATCCATTTTCTTTCTTGTTAGACTTAGCTGGATGTCTCTCTATATATTATTTATGGCCTATTCCCATTTTTGTTGTTGGATAGAGCAGTTGATTTGAGCTCTAGTAACAATCCATCACTACCTTGGGGAGATATAATTGCTTGCAAATAAAGTACTTCTTGTCTTGTCTTTGTTTTTTCATTGCCTTGAATGTGTTATCAGCTTGTTCAACCTGTAAGGCTTTTTATGTTTGGAAATAGTGAGGTGTGAGGAAAACAGATGTGTTAGGTCTTACATGCAGTGGATCCACAGTCTGCTGTTAAAGGTTATTAACTCAGTGAAATCACTGGGGATGAACTTCAGTAAACTGAGTGTGTGAAGTGAAATTTGGCCTTAAACATTAGAGACTGGAACCAGGGAAGAACATTCTTACTGGAACAGTAAGAATGAAGCTGACTTGAAAAAAAAAAATTTAAACTATTACATAGTACCCATAGGGAAAATTAGAATTTCTTTAGGGGAAGAGGTGGAAAACTCCACAATGGAGAAATTTTGTGATGTTGCTCACCAGGATATGGTACTTAGTGGAAAAGTTTTTTGTATTTGTTTCTTGAGCAGCAGTAGGTGCATGAGCTATTGCATGTGGGTCTGCACTATCCATCATAATTTGGGATGCTTCAGCATGTGGTGGAGGAGGATCAGGGAGTAGATGTGTAGGAGGAAAGGGATGCTGTTACAGTGATACAGAGAAGGACCAAATACCTGGGAAAGTGTTCCAGAGAGTGAGATGGATAGCTCAGAGAAACATTGCCTTTCAGGCAGCGTTTTTTCATACTTTAGACTTGCCAGAAAAAAAATGCAAGTGCATATAAAACTGGCAGGAAGCTGTGCAGTGGCTGGTGAAAACAACCTAGGTGATTTAATAGACTTGATGTGTGTCTAACATCTGGATTCAGGGAGTTAATGTGAGTTAGTGGCATTCTGAATCTGCTGATCTGTGCTAAATCAGGAGAAGTGGGAATTCACAAAGTGCACAGCCACACTGGTTCCATTAGAAGGCAACATGCATCGAACCTGCTAGTCACTCAGCAAAACCATGGAAGTCTTTAGTTGAATTTCAGACAATAAAACGACAGGACTGCCCGTGAGAGCCCTGGGCACAGCCCTGGAGTGTCCCCCAGCCTCTCCTGCTCACCATTGCTCCCGGGCCCCACTCCACACGTGCAGACTGCTGGGAAGGGCTGTGAGCCCTCCTGCCTCTCGCTGTGTTTGTGACATGGAGCCATCCTTTGTGCACAGCTTCCCATTGTGCCCGAGCTTCCTTCGTGGAGCCCTCACAGAGCTGCAGGGGAAGGCACAGGACACCTGGGTGTGGGTATTACCTGTGTGTACCTTGCTGTGCTGTCTGCTGTTCCCACAGCAGCTCTGCCTCAGGGACTCTGTCTTTATGTCCAGATTCAGTGTTTGCACTTGAACTAGCATCCTGGTTTGGGTTCTTTAGTTTTTCTCTCCATTTCTTCCATTTGGCCATTGATTCAGCAGTTCTGGTGTACTTTTTCAAGTATTCTTTTCAAAGTAGTCAGAATTTCCCAACATCATGGGCTGGGACTAATGGCTTATCATGCCATAGCCTAAGGCAGCTAAGCCTGTGTCTTATGTCAGAGGCTCTGGATGGCTGCAGTAATAAGCAGGCAGGACTCCATTTCTAAATGCAGAAAAAGCCAATTCTTTATTCCCACAGCACATGTTTATAGGAAATACCAGCAGGCTGTGGGTGAGGCTTCAAATCCTTCATCCTAGATAGAGGGGATTGCATTTGTAAATTCATTCCCCACATACACTACAGTTGTGTTATAAACTGATCTGCCAGGTAGGTTTGCCATAACAAGAAAGGTCCTTTCTGTAAAAGAGTGATGTGTAAAATACTGGATTCCAGGTGGTTCCAAATGCGGGCTTCCAAAGTTAATAAGGAACTCTAATTAGTCAAGTATGTTTTCCCCATTGCTGAGCAATATGATTAATCAAGGAGAGATTACACATTATGTGCCATGTTGTGTTGTCACCACTGTCATTCCTGAGTGCAGTGTTTGTACAGGTCCATACTGTAATATCTTTAGGTTGAGTTTCTTTACTGAATGCTCTTTACACATAAAACCATACCGACTTTGAGGAAAACAGTGTTCTCATTTGAACAAAGAATTACATTAATTTTTTTCATCTTGTCTACTTCTTTTGTCAAGTGCAGAACTTGTAAATTGATTTGGAGCCTTTGGATATGAAATGCATAGTAAAATTAGAAGTATATCCTGTCAAAGATGTTGGAAGGCAAAGCTCACTTTATACATGCATGAGGAACAGTTAATTGTTGATTTTACTTTGGGTGAAGTGTTTCAGCTCTGAAGAGGCGGAGGCTCAAACAAATGTGAAGAGAAGGGTGGGCATACTTGTGCCTTAAGTATTCACATTTTACTTCTTCGTTCTTAGAAACATCCTCCTGTAATTAAAGCAGCCTTTTGGGCTTGGGAGGGGGGCATACAGAAAAAAACTGCTCACAAGAGCTTGGCTTTTCACCTAGACTGAAGTTCTGAAGAAATTCTCTAATTGTTTGGGAGGTATTTTTCTGATACGGTGTATCTGTGCTGTGAGTGGCACGTGTAAGCTCATTTGCAGCCCTGTTCGTACAGCTCTGTTTGTGTTTGGGTGCACCAATTCAATTCTAAAAACCTCAAACAAACCAACCACAGGTTTTCTGACCAGATACCCGTAATGACTCTCAGAGTACACGGAGCTGAACCTCCTTGGAACGTTACTAGGAAATTCATGGAAGGGAAAGGAACTTCATAGAACGCTGGGAATAGCAAACTGCCCAAGAAATTTCTCAAAATCGGGATTTGGCTTGGGCTGTAGTGTCAGTAAGAAGAATCTGACATCTCTGTGGTATCTCTACATCGTGCTGGTGCCAGACAATACGAATAGGTGGGACATGGGGACGGTCGGGGGTTAATTTCTGTGCCTTGTGTAGGGGTCGGAGCTTTGTTTAATGGCGATGTCGTGCAGGTTTCACGGTGCGTTTGTTGTGTTTCCCTGAAGGGGGAGGGGCCCACTGAAGCACACGAGTGACGTCATCAACGCTGCCAAGGTGATCTCGGAGTCGGGCTCGCGCATGGACGTGCTGGCACGGCTCATCGCTGACCAGGTGAGGGGGCAGCAGGGCAGGGGGACCCTCACACTCATCTCTGTGAACCCCACCTGGGTTCCCCGTGCACGTGTGCACGTGTGAGAGTGCTTGTGACTCCTTAAGCTATGAGTGCAACATCTACACAGACAGTGTATATGAACATGTGTATACAGCTGTCTATAACCATTCATGGCTGCTTTAATATATATATGTGTATATATTACTATTACCAACAACACATTAAGGTGTATGTTAGTATATAAATAGTTGTTTAAAAAGCTGTTTCCTGGTTTAACCCCAGCTAGCAATATAATGTAGTTGCTTGGTCACCTACTTCTGGAACTGGAAAAAAAAAAGGAAACCTCATGAGTTGTTACAAAAAGTTTAATAATTTAAAATATAATGGTAGTAGTAGTAGTAGTAGTACTAATATTGATGCTGAAAGAGAGGGGGAGAGAGGACTGAGAGCAGAGAGAAAGAAGAAACCCAGCACAACTGCCCAGCGTGTCCCTGAACAATCAGCACCTCCCAGGTGAGCCCCCCACAGTGGTTTTAGGACAGGGAATCCACTCTCACTGAAATACTTCTTTAAGGAAAGATTTCAGGTGTTGTACTACAGTGACTCCAGAGTGAGGAAAAAGTATTAATGAACCATTAGTGGTGATAATTTGTGTGTCCCCTCACAGCTGCTGGGAAATGTGACATCATTCAGGTTATTGTAACCCTTTTCCTGAATTCACTCCAACTCTTTGCCTTTGTCCTGGCTCAGAACTTTCACAGCTGACACCCAGGAGCCACCTGACCCCTGAGACTTGTTCTGTGCCTCTGAAGGACACTCCTTACTTACAGGTGCTGCTTGGCTTCTAGGTGCAGTTTTTACATTACATTATATGCATTAAAAGCAGAAAAACCCAAACACAAAAGATGAACCAAGGCAGCCCTTGCAGTACTGGTGAACATGACTGCAAGTGTTATTAGATAGGTGTCAAACTCACCAAAAAAGAATCTTGCTTTATTCTTCTTATTACAGATAGTGTGATCCTCAACTTCTGAAAGCTTTTTTTGGCTGTGCAAAGTTATCCTTTAACTTAGAAAGCTCTTTTCTCATTGTGGTATTTCTTTTGTATCTCAAAGATATTTTCAGATTCCTTTTTTCAGCTGTTATTTTGCCAGGTTTCCTATGCCCTGCACTCGTGAGATCTTAAAATAAAATAAAGTTTGCATTCCTCTGGGCTACCAAATAATTGTTCTCTGAATTTGGGCCAAACTGGATGAGCCCTTCAGGAATTTGGTGCCCAGAGTAGAACATGAATGCCAGTAAGTGCCTCCTGAGCAGCATTCACACTTCTTAGTGGAGTATGTCACATGTTGCCTTTTCTGAACAACTAAATGATGTAGAATTTCTATTACAGGGAAAAAAAAAAAAGATGTGACTGATTTTTATAGCTCTCTGTTGCTGTGTTTGAAGGGAAGGGATACAGTGTGGTACACTTGGCAGTATTTCAGTCCACACTCACAAGCACTTCCAGGATGGCTCAGATTAACAAGGGTGAGAATCATCACAGTTACAGCATCAGCAGCAACCTCTGCACACGAATCACAGGAGCTTCACAGATCCATGTGACTGCCACGGTGCTCCCAGCCTGGATTTACTAACTCCAGGATTTACTAACCAAACATATTTCTCATACACTTGACATCACTTTGATATTTCCCATTCCTTAGTCCAGTAACTCCTTTTTCCTATGTAAAACTTTAATGTAAGCATTCTTTAACAAAGATTTCTGCAATTGAACAACCCCATGTTAAAAACCATGTCCTTTGTTTTGCACTCCTGGGAGTCACTTTCTGGGGGTCCCAGGGTTTGGAATTGAGGATTCACTCCAGCCCTCCCCTCTGTGTGGGCCCTGGTGTGGCCAGTGGAGGGAAAGATGCCCTGCACCTACTCAGGTGGTGAAGCTGTGGATGTGTCACACACTTTACAGTTCCAGAATTACACTGCAGGAGAATTTTCTTATCCAATGCCCTGCACTGGCTTTTCTGAGTGCTTCTGGCACTGAAAGTGTTTCCAGAGAACCTCAAGGTCTTGTTTCTGAGTTCAGTTCCTGGCCTTTGCTGTGCATCATTCCTGACATGGCACACATGTGTGTAATGCTCTGTAAGGGAGACAGCACCTGTGACTAGCCTGACACTATTCTCATATAAAAGACAATTACATAATAATCATTCCTGTCTCTGAACTCCTGTAAGTGCTGTTGTCACTGCTTGAAATGACACCCAGTACACCTTTCTCTTGAGGCTTTCTGGGCAAAAGGATGAAAGGATAAGGCCAAGGGATAAAAAAATCAAGTGTAACTAAGGAAGGGAAAAAAATGGAGGAGGAAGAATCTCATGCCAGGAATACACACCACCTTGGTATTCTGAGTTCTGATGCACTAAGGGATTTATTGTATTTTACTGGAAGTATAATTTTTTGTTAATGAGATTAAATACACAGTTTTCCAGCTTTCTGATCACTGACATACCATTATATAAATACTGATTTTGGCAGTCCTTAATAAGGAAGAAATAAAGACTTATTTTAGGGCAGTTTTCCATAATGTGCTAGCATTTTGAAAACATCACATATGAAAGAGAACACATCAAGCCAGTGTTTGGTTTTGTTGTAAACTGTGCCCAAATACAGGAAACAGTGCTGGATGTAGCAGAACATGAGGTAAGGACTGATGTTCAGTCATATTAAAGAATTGAAAACTCTACACTCTTTCCTTGTTTGCTGTTACCTTTTGCATGAATTTGCTTAACCACACATTACTGCAGAGTATGAAGTGTTCTTCATTGTCCCACCAGCCCTTGGAACACTCACTGTTGCTTCAGCAAAGCCGGGAGCTGAAATATTCCTGGAGTTCAGTAAAAGCCCAGGTGATTGTTGCCAGTGTGCAGTTGATGGGGATGTATCTTTGCTTTTTCAGCCTGCAAAGCTGAGCAGGGTTTGCTGTCCAAAGGAAGGGGCTGTGCCTGTCAGTCAGGACCACACCCTGGCCAAAAGCACGTCTGTGAACCTGCACTCACCATTCCCCTTCAGGTCATTTATTCTGCCACAGCAATGCCAATGAGCCTTAGAACAAATTCATACCCAGCCTTTCATGGCTGCCCTGCTACCCCAGAGCAACACTGCTCCAACTACTCCATGGGTTCTGAGAAAAATTAGGTTAGAACAATCTTATTTCTAGAATAGAAATCTGTATTGTTAAAAATACTGAGATCTGTGAGTTTTCCCTAAGACATTCTAATTTTACTGTTCCCACTGCTAGAGAAGAGCTGCAGATGGAGTTCAGTACACTCTGGATGGAACACAAACCCCACAGATCATACTACAAGATGAAGCATAACAGACAGATGTTACCATGTCTCTGCATGTATGGTTACATTGCCCACAAAACGTGTCTGGAACGCCCTCATCACTGTTAATGGAGCTCTTTTCTTAGAGATCATCTCAGGAATTGAACTAATTGCTCCATACACTGAGGGATGTGTTCAGAAATACTGCTAAGGCAAGCATAGCAATGTTAAATACAGCGTGCACATGGGGAATTTTAGGTTTAATCTGAGCTCCCAACCATAGCATTAAAAGGCTTCCCAAGAGGAATGAACTTTGCAGCCTGGTGCAAGTGCAGTGAAAAGCAAGGTCCAGCAGTCTGCAACTGGAATGCTCCTCAATGAAGTTTTAATGTGATTCCTCAGACATCCTTTGGAATCAGCAGTGACTGAAATGTTTTATTTGTTCTTTCCAGTGCCCAGACCAGTCGTGCAAACAGGATTTACTGGCTTACCTAGAACAGATCAAGCTGTACTCCCATCAGCTCAAGATCTGCAGCCAGGTGAAAGCAGAAATCCAGAATCTGGGTGGAGAGCTCATCATGTCTGCAGTAAGTAGAAAATGGCATGGAGTACTCTGTTAGTTAAAGTGCATGTTACATTTGAGTTGGCCTTTCTGTGCTTGCAGCCTGTCCCACTGTCACTCCAATTCTCTAACACCTGCTTCACAGCAGGAATCTGTCACAGGGAAGTGCAAGATTCGTGGCTTTGAGGGAGTAACAAGGACCTTTTCTTTTTAAATTCTCCCAGCACACTGTGTTACCACTGTTACTGTGGAGTAGTTTGGTTGGAAGAACCCCTGACAGTGCTGCTGCATTGGCTTACACATATGGAATATGGTCATGTGTGTCTGAACACAGTAAAAACACTCCAGGGCTGGAGTTCCAGCCAGAAAAAAAATGCTGCAGGGCATTCTTACAGGTCTACAGAAATTAATAAAAGGAAGAGCAAGGTGACTTGATTCTTGAGTGAATTTCTTGATTTTGCTTTAAGAGTTATTAGCTCCTTTCCAGTCAAGTATCATTAGCCAAGGAAAAGACATTTTTGTGATTTTATGGAACTTTGCTGCACTTGGCCTCAGTACAGCCATCCATAAAGTGCCTTCACATTCCCATGTTCTGTGGTGTGTTACTACCTGGAGCCCATGGGATGATTCCAAGGTACAAATCTGCTGAATGGCACCAAAAGCAGGTAGGACACCCTTCCCACCTGGCACATTCTGCCCTTTGCACACTGGTATTGAGCTCCTTGTGCACAGAGTCTGGAATGCTGTGTGTCTGTGCCCATCACTGGCTGTCTGTGTTCATCTGTACCTGTGTGTATTAACCTGTACCTAGCTCAGGTTACTCATGGCTGTCCCTGTGTGTTCCTCTCTGAGCTATGTCTGTCTCTATCAAACCATCCCTATTTCTGCCTGTCCATACCTGCCAGTACCTCTCTGGACCTGTCAATATTTTTAGCTCTGCCTGTCTAAACTCATCTCTGTCCATACATGCCAGATCTGTATATACACACATCTCTACCTGTATCTCTGTACCTATCCCAGTTACCTGTTCATGTCTCTGTCCACCTCCACTTACTCCACCTGTCTGTCCCTGTCCCTCTGTCCTTACATGTATCTCCTCTCTGAACCTGTCAATATCTGACAGAATCTCTGTCAGTCCTGTCTCCATCACTGCCACTATCTCTGTCAGAATCTAGGAAAACGTGTCAGAATCTGCCAAAATTTAACAGAATCTACTAAAATCTTGCAGAATCTGTCAGATTGTAACAGAACCTGTCAAAATCCAGCAGAATCTGTCAGGATCTGTCTGTGCCTGTCTGTCAGTGTGTATGTGTACCCATCACTACCTCTCCCTGTCAGAAAACATCTCTTTATCTGTCCATAATGTCAATATCTATCTATACCTGTCAGTCTGTCAGCACCTCTCTGTCCATCCCTATCTGTCTGTCTGTCCCAGTCCAGAGCAGTCTCTACCTGATCCAACCTGTGTGTCCCTGTCTCTGCCTGTCCCTGTCCCTGTCTCTACCCCTCCATCTCTGTACTGTCTATTTCTGCCTCTCTAGGCCTTTCCCTACTTATCTCTCACTAAAACTGTTACATTTTATGTGGTTTATAAACTAATCAGAAATGAAGATGTGAAATACTCCTCTCTGTAGGATACTTGTGCTGGCTATTCAAATGGTAATTTAGACACCACATTTGAACATACAGTTAATTCATTTGAATTGAATGTGTTAATTTCTGAAGCCAGACTTGGGCTGCACATGAACAAAGTTTCTCTTCCTTACCTGTTTATTCTCACCAGCAGTTCTGTGACCAGTGTGGGTCACAGTAAAACCAAATGTTGGGACCAAGTTTGGTTCTTGCTATTTCAGCCTCGTGCTGTAGAATATTCTCATTGTTTTCTTTACCTTTTGTTGTGTCACTCCTGTCAACAGTGCATAATCTGCCTGGTGCAAAAATTTTAATTCTAAAAATGAAATCCCAAATGTAAATTAATTGCTAATCCTGAAGGGATGACCACAGATCCTAACCCTGCTTCAAGGAAGGAGGGTGAGAACTTGTCCAGAAACTTGAGAAAGCCAAGTGCTTATTCAGATAAAGGCTGAACTCTCTTCCAGTTCAGTAAACACAGGTAAGGAGGTGCTTATTTTGGGAGTCAGTGGAAATGAAGAACATGCTTAGAGGCCTGAATGGCCTTGGGAGTGTTCTCTGAAACCAGAGTGAGATGCTGCAAGGTTGTTACTCTCTTAGGTAATCTTGAAAAGTTCTCCAACAGTGACTGTATGTTTGGTTTTTTTTTTCTAATAATATGGGTGCTACATAGGAAAGAGCCAGATTGCCAGCCAGTGTCAACAGAGACCTGTGCTCTCACCCCGAGCCTTTTAAAGACACTGGAGACACAGTTGGTTGGTCTCAGTTATGAAAATTTTGTAGAAAATAGAAAAAAAGTCTCCCTGGTGTCCCCTTGGGAAGGGGAGGCCATTCATGACTGACTGTGCTCAACTGCCCCCTGCAATTAAAACTGGTTATGTGAAACTGCAGTCAGTGATGGCCTATTTGTGTTAATTTACTTAATAATGTTTTAATTGCTTCAGTTTCAGAAGAACAACAGGATTTGTGTTGTACAGAGAAACTGCTCAGTTGAGAGGGGCAGAAATGCACTAGTGGTATAAAATGGTTATTGAATTGCTTTTCTTAAAAGCTCGAGGAAGTTCGAGCTTTGAAAGTGAATGTGGAGGCTTTAGAAATTTATCACAGTCCTAGGTTAGCTGGCCTTGAAAAAGTGATGAGTTGTGTGTGACAAAACAGAGGGGTTCTTCTCTCCCTTCCCACCTTCCCCCTCCCCAGAAGTATCAGAACTCCATTAGAAAATAAGAGTCAGATTGTACTTTATGGTCTCCCCAGTCCTGATCTTCTCTGAATGAGAATCAGAAAAGGACACAGCAAGATGATTAAGAAAAAAAAAAACAAGAGGCCCCACCCTTGCAGCTAGTAAAGGTTTTATTGTGCATTAAGTAAAAAAATTTGAGAGTCTCCAAATACCTGAAAATGAATCCATCCTCTGGTTAAAGGACGAAGACCTGCTACAGGAACAGGAATCTTGTAGATGGAGCATTAGGAAATAATCATAGTGCCAGGTGCCCCCTGCACCCTCCCTGGTCCTCGGGCATCCCCACATCCCCTCCTCTGGCTGGCAGTGGCTCCCTCCCCATCTCCCCCCTCCTTCAGGAGCTGAGGGGGGAGGCTCCTCTCCTGGAGAAATGACACATTTCCACCTTCACACGGGTGAACCTGCACAGGGACAAATGCACAGGTGAACCCACACATAACAGCACTGCTTTGAGATGGCTCTTACATCCACCCCACACCTTCCTTCTCCAACCATTACACTGTGCACAGGCATCTTGCATCACCTTCAAGGAAAATTCCTTCTACAGGAGCAGTGGTTCATTTAAAAATAACCCAAGCAGCTTCTCTTGAAGCCTGAAGACCAAGTGGGATGAAGAGCAGAGGATGTAGTGTCACATGACAGCAGTGTCCTCTTGAGACACAGCAGCCACAGTCCCTGTCCTGCCAGTTGTGGCTGGTGCTGTGCTGGAGCAAGCAGAGGAGCCCTGGAGTTGTAGCTTAGCCCTGAGTGGTGCCCTGGAGCACTGGGTGGCAGGGCCATGGCACAGGGGCAGCTGTGTCCCTGCCAGCAGCACAGAGTGTTCTCACCTCCAGGCTGACCTGCACTGGAGGAGGGGCTGCCAGCACAGCTCAGTTTGGCACTTACTCTGTGACCACACAGAGCATTATGCAGATGAAGAACTGAAATCCATAAACACAGATCAAGCCTCTTCAGCTCTTTTTGATGTGTGTGCCCTGTGCCCCTGTCTCCCTGCCCTGGAAGGGGCTCCAGTTCATACCCAGCTGGATCATTAGTGCAGATTAATTAGACCAGGTTCTCTGGGGCAGCTGGGATGCACTGTGGACTTCCCCCAGCTCACAGCTCTTGTCCCTGCTCTCCTTGTTTAAGTGGCCTTTGGACTTGCAGTCTGCCTTCCCTCACTGTGTGTTCCCAAGCTCCAGTACTCTCTCTGTAGTCAGCCCCCCATTATGGAGCTTAGAAAGGGTCCTGTACAGAAAAAAGAGAGGAAACTAAAAGTTCCTTGCTGACTATTTAGTGTTTCATAGTCCCACCAGTACTGGAGTACTGCTGCTGCATTGGCCAGCTTCTAAGCTGCTGAAGTCCAAATGATGAGGATTCACTAAGTCTTCATTAGGAGTGATTACATAGGAAAGGGACATTTCCTTGTATTAATTAAATTGGTGCCTCTTCAGGCACAAAATAATGGGGTAACATTTGCAGTATGCAGATTGACAGTAATTGCACTCACTTATGCAGATAAGCTGATCCTTGACTTTACAAGCACTGCACAGCCATAGGCTTGCACCTTGCCTTGCCAGTTTGCTCTTTCTCCAGCAATGGCTTTAACTGGAGAGAATTGTATCACAGGGCAGAAAATGATCATATCTTACATATATCAATGCTGTGCTCCATGACTTTTGCCAGGCAATTCTGTTTTGTGCTACTTACAGTCATTATCTTCTTGTGTTTGATTTTATATTGTACTTGGTAAGAAAGGCAAAGCTTTTTGGCTTTACAAAGAAGGGTGTGGAGGAGCAAACTCTCCAGTCCCAGTATCCCAGTATTTGCTAACTGGCACAGAAGCCCCCCCCTCAGGCTGGCCAGCCTTACCTGTGCACTGGGGGCTGTTTCCCTCTGCTCTTCCTGCAGGTGTCTCATTTATCTTCAGCCCCCTGCCTTCCCAAGAGCCAGACTGTAACTCACACACTGACGTCAGGCTGCTTTTGTGCCAAATGGAGGTGCTTTAGTGTGTCTAACTTCATGCTCCAAGGCTGGACTGAAATGTGTTTCCCTTGCTGAGATCCCAGGCCTGTTAAATCACAGGTTTCCAGCAGGACACTGCAATGAATGTGTTCCAGCTTTGGAGGCTGAGCCACAGGTGAAAACACAGAGGCAAAGCTGCAGGAGCTTGCAGCCAAAAGTTAGAAAAAAGCAAGGGAGGGTCTCTGGGCCTTTGGCTGACATAGCCCCAGTTCCTGGATATCCAGAGCCCAGGAAAAGGCTGCCTTGGCCACACTGCAGGGCCTTCAGGAGCTGGGGCAGTGCAGTTCAGCTCCTTTGGGGTCTGGCTGTCCTTTGCCCTGCAAGAGCAGTGGGATGGGCAGAGCAGCCTTGCTGTGGCCCTGGCAGGGCAGGAGCAAAGGGCTGAAAGCAGCCAGGTGACAATGACACTGGAACAGGGGCTGCCCTGACAGCCCACCTGAGTCTCTGCAGGCACCACTGTGGTGCCACAGCGTCCCTTTTTCCTTGCTTCACATCCAGGGGCTGCTCTGCCAAAGCCAGGGCACAGCTCCTGCTCTGTCCTGAGACACTTCACTGCCCCTGTCCTGTTTGAATGGATGGGGGAGGTCACCTGCACTTATTTCACTGTTGGACTGTGAAAATCTGAACTGCTCCATTTCTAAAAGCTGACACGAACCCCCAACAGCTGACACAAGTTTTCTTCTGCTGAGAGTTGACAGCAATGTTTCACTCTGGGCTTTTTCCATCTAGTAACACTTCACCTTTCTTGCTTTTGCCTAGTGTACACTGGCAGGTGTGTGGATACAGAAATCCTGGCCTTTGGAAGCAAAACAAGGGATAGATTTTCCTTACAGAGATCCCAGTTACTACTGCTTCCTAAACTGCATCTAGGGAGAAAAACTAAAGGAGTAGCAATTGTTTCTGGTCATGGACACTAAGGACAGCTAACTTTCCTTAGAAATAATTACTCTGGTAATTAGGTAATGTAATAAAAATCAGGATGTATCTTATAGTTCTTAGCCTCAGTGTATGTAAAAGATCATTGCAGCAAACACTTGATTTCTTCCTTAACAGCAAGGAAAGGATTTATATTAAGCCACTGTTCTCTTTTTCTGAAGGGCCTGTTTTTAAAAAAATAGATTCCTTTTTTGAAATCCTCCCTGGAAGTGAAAGCAGCAGTAGTGGGGAGGGACTGAGCTATCTGCCTGGCTAAGCATCTGCTCCATTATGGTGTTGCACAGGAACAATTTCACAGCCCTTAATGTAAGTTGTTTATCATTGAACTTGGACACAGGCCTGGGCTAATTATAGAACTCACTTTCAGTTCTTTGAATCCTGCTTAGCCTGAAGCAGACTGTGGTAATGGTTAGTTTTTAGTCCATTAGATTCAATTTCCCCACCTGAAAAATGGGTAAAGCAAAGAACAAAGCCCAGACACCCCTGAGGTGCTGAAAGCAATCACTGGCTGGACACACAGACACTGACAGCCAGTGGAGCAGCCACGGTTTTAGGAAAACTCAGCTCCTTGAAAAGAAGCTCAGGCAGTGAAGTTCCTGAGGCCACATCCATGGCATGAGATCTCTGCAGTGTCCCAGAGGGAGCCCATGAGCACACAGCACAGGGAACCCAGTGCTTCCAGTTCCAGCTCTGCTTTCCTGCACACCCAGCTTCTGCTGCCACTGCTGGACCCAGAGCTCCATTTCACTAAAAAGAAAATAACACTGCCCTGAGTGGGGAAAAAAGGGAGGCTCAGAAAACCAGGCAAGGGAGTGGTGTTAAAATCCTGGCCAAGGCCTAGCAAAAACTCCAATGTCTTCAACAGTCCAGACTTCACCCTTAATAATTAACATGTTTGGATTGTTCTGCTACTTTTAATCCTAAGGGATTAAATGACTATTTTATATATCAACCTTAGTGAAAGAACCATACAATAATACAAAACAGCAAACAGCCAGACCTAGTAAAAAAAAACAGGATTAAAATCAGAAGCACAGTGGACTCCTTAGCTGAAATGCAGCACACTCAGACACTCACTGCTCTGATTGAAAATGCAGAACTTGTGTTATAGTCAGATGTCGCTGTCAAAGCAATTCAGTCTTAGTCTCTTGGTATAGTGTACCAAAGGCAATCTGCTTCTAGGAATGTATTTAATGAACCTTGTGTTTCAATTAAAATCAATTTTTAATAACTGACCTTGCTTCCAAAAGAATTTTATGTTCAGCCTTCAAACACTGATAAAAAACTCTGTATTTAATGTTCAGTTCTCAGCTTCCACCTGTATGAAACACGTAGATGTGGCTGAAGTGTAACTAGCACTTGGGATATTGTAAAGAAGAGCCAACTGACACATCTGTCCTCCAGCAGCCAGGCCTTAGAGTTCCCTGCACAAACTGCTCCCAGCAGAGCAGCTGGGGCTGCAGCACTGTGGGGGAGTGCTGCTCTCAGCCTGCACAGCTCCAGCCTGAGGGCAGGGGACAGCACCTGCACGGCCACACAAAGCACGGGGCAGGAGCCTGCCTCAGCACTGCCAAAGCCTCAAAATTCATTTCTTTTTACCTTTGCCTTCAGCTCTGTTACTCCGTGGAGAGTTTGCTTTCTTGCTCTCAGGACTTAGTAGAGAGGAGGAATGAAAGTGCTGGGGATGGGAGAGTGGATTTCAGCAGGAGTGTTGCCAGCCCGACGTGGGGTGAGGTTATTTCTGAAAAAATACTGTCATCTGCTCTGTATCCTCTGTGTTTCACCTGGTGAAACTACAGTGATCAGAGTAATTCTGAATTCCTTTTGCAACGGCAGCAAGTACTAATGCTCACAGGACAGGTGAGGAAAGAAATGGCAAGGGACGTTTTTCCTAAAGCCTTTAATGAATTACTGTCTTAACTCACACAGTCACACCTGTAAAACTGGGAGGCTGGGACATGGCATCTCCATGGAAAATGCTGAAAGAGCAAAAGTGAAGTTAGGCAAAAATAAAACAGCTCTTAGTGTGGGGTTGGTCGGTTTGTTTGTTTTGCTAGTGAATCTTTATGTACCACTTGCTGTGCATTGAAGAGTTTGCAGCTCCATCTCTCCAAGTGAAATGAACCTAAACGCTCAATGAATATTTCATCAGTCTTTCATTTATGCCAAGTTTCATTCCTTGAGTTTTGCTGGATATGAGACCTTGAAGAGCATGCTGAATATGTGAGATAAAAGCATCCAAGTGAAGAAAGTTCTTGAGTACATCAGTTTTATAGAACAACAGATTTCCACCAAACTGTACAGTGTTACTGCTGTTGAGGTAGAAAAACAGCTGCTCTCTGAAGCCAAAAAAGATTAAATGTATGGCCTGATTGCTACCATCTGTACTACACAACTAAGAACATCAAAAAGCTTCCCCCAGACTCTGAATGCAGCTAATACCCCACCCCAACACAGCCTTCCTCTTGAGAAGGCACATGAGAAAGCTGAGGGGACACTGAGGGAGTGTCCCTGCCCCTCAGTGCCTGTCCTCACCCAGCCCAGCCAGGCCAGAGCTGTGCTGGGCTCTGGTCACTGCCTGTGAGCAGGGGACACTCAGAGCTGTTCTCACAGCGTGGGCCCCCTGTGCCTCAGGGCAGCTTTTGTGGCACAAATTCCGTTCCTCTGGGTGCCAAGGGGCAGGGGAATTGTGCCACGTGGAACAGCTCTGCAGTTCACAGTGCTGCAGCTGCCAGGTGTCCCCTGCCAGAGCCTGTGTCACAGTTCTCAGTTAGAACCTCAGCACAGACAGGCACCCCTCAGGTTGTTTTGCAGTAGATACCTATGATTGTAGTTTAGAAAACAATAAAAACAGTTTTATTGGTGGGGTGTAGGAGCCCTGGAGTGCTCCACAGCCCATTTGTGGAAGAAGCTGCAGGGGGCAGAAGGAAGAGGGAACTGTTGAGTTTCCACAGGGGAGGAAAGGCCATCTAAATTCCAGTGCTCACCTCAACATTCTCCATGTTCCATACTACACACTGAAGTCACAAAAAAGAACAGCTGAAGTTTTGTAGCATCCTGCCTGGATGCTACCAGTTTCTTCTAGAAGCCTTTTCCCTGCCATGCAAACAGGAATTTATTTACTGCCCAAGCTGCCACCCCCTCCTGCTCACATGCCTCTAATCATCCAGCAACTTAAAAAAGGTGGAGCAATCACACACACTGCAGCCACTGGGAAACTTCAGGGAAAAAACTTTGCCTGAAGTCCATTCACCATCTGCCACAGAACCAAAACCATCTTTTCCTTTGTCCCAGCAGCCTCAGAGTGGTGTTACTATGCCAGTGCTGGAAAAGGGACTGTTGGGGTGGGGGTGGGAAGGCTGTGAACAAGCTGTCAGGATTACGGTGGTGTCAGCTGTTGTAGGTAACAAGAGAGAATTGAAATTCCGTGTGTGTGTATAACCAGTACTCAGGTGAGCAGGAAGGAGGCTGTTCCATGAAGCTGAGTCTCCTCCTGCCCAGTGAACACCGGGTGCCAGCCTCCCTTAGGTGCCCTGAGCTAGGGCTGCAGCTCCAGGCAGCCTCCCTGGGCAAAGGGGTGCACTGCAGAGGTGCTGCGAGTGGGGGACAGAACTCTGAGCACACCCTGCAGCTTGGGAAGTGGCTGGTTTCAAACGGGTTAGATGTATAAAATGTTTGAAGTGTGGGGGCCAGCACGTGAAGTTCACATTAGAGTGTGTGCCACGAGCTGTGCTGCAGGGCCAAGGCTTCTGAGGGCACATTCAGGTCACACAGCACAGTCCCCACACTCAGCCACCTACCCTCTAATGGCAGCAGTGCCTGCAGACACCACGTGGACTGGCAGCCCCTTCTAGGAAGTTCACATGCCGCAGCAGGGAGTGAACTTTGGAGACCATCTGGTAGATTTTACACCTTTTCTTGGGGAACTGAGATAATTTCAGTTTGCCATCACACATATGTGTGCATTCAACCAGACATCTTACTGTTTTTTCTTATTGCATTTCCAGAGAGCAGCAGTGTGTGTTGCATTAACGGGAAGATTTTTCTGCCAGTTGAGAAGTGTTTCCAAATTGCAACTAAATGCAGCCTCTTGGCTGCAGTTGTTATTTCTGCCTTATTTGCATTTGTGTTACACAATGAGAATGAAGACAGACAATAATAACACACCTCTCTCACCTGATCCATTTGCTTGAGCTGGCAAAGGGAGAAGTCCTGGAACCTTTCCTAATAAGCCCGTTTGTAAGTCTGTACCTTGCCCAAGGCTCTGGGGTTGGGCTGGATGGCAGAGCACAGGATCACTGTGCCACTAAACCCACAGACAGCCCTTCAGAGAGCCAGCCTCAGTGCTTTTACACAAATGCTCCAGCAAAGGGCACCTTTAGAAGGTGAAGTGTGAAGGCTCTCTCGTTTGGAAGAGTCATCCCCTATTTCTCCTGCCCAGCCATGGAGAGCTTCCTCAGTGTTGCTGTGTCCATGGGCAGTGACAGCAGACACCCCTGCTGTGGCCTTCCCCATGGCCTTTGTCTGTTCTGCATTCTGCCCTTGGGTGGCACTCCCCAAGCAGCTGGAGAGGCCCCACACTCACTGGGATTTCTGGAATTATCCCACTTCTAATATCCCATCCAAATCCTGGCTGCTGAGAACAGGTTTGGCAGCTCTGCCAGAGGCAGACACTTCTGAGTATCCCAGCACTGCTCCCTGTGAGACTGCAATGTGACAGGAGCAGCTGCAGGCCTTACCTAGTGCTCACAGGAAGCAAGGGGTCACATTTTCACAGCTCTTCTTCCAGTTGGTTTCATTACCCATCAGTAGGAACTGGGCCCTGCAGACAAGCATCATGAATTCCTGTTAAAGAAACAAAACATTAGCATTATTTCCCCAAGCATTTCTATATTCCACCAGCACGAATTTCTGTACATCAGTCTGAGCAGCAGACCAGGAGTACAGTGATCAAACACACAAAGGGAAAATATGGAAATTATGGTTTAGTCTGTGGTGATCTTTAACTGCAGTTTGTTTACTCCTGTGCCTACTGTGATTAAAAGCATGCTGACTTCTAGGCTGCTGTTTCTGTTTCCTGTTACAGCTGGACAGCGTCACTTCACTCATTCAGGCCGCCAAAAATTTAATGAATTCTGTGGTGCAGACAGTGAAGATGTCCTACATTGCATCCACAAAGATTATCAAGATTCAGAGTCCTACTGGCCCACGACACCCAGTTGTGATGTGGAGAATGAAGGCTCCAGAGAAGAAGCCCCTGGTTAAAAGAGAGAAGCCAGAAGAAATCTATGCTGCTGTCAGAAAAGGTTCTGCAAAGAAGAGAATCCATCCTGTGCAGGTCATGAGTGAATTCAGAGGCAGAGAAGTAGTCTAATATTTTTCCACTGTGTCTTCCTATCTTGAATTTCTGATGATTTTTCATCGTTTCCCCCACTTATTTAATAATCCTGTATGTCAACATTTTGCTCTAAATCTGTAAGATAACACTTACCTGAATGATTAGAAAATGCTGTTGGATTAATGAGAAGGGCACAGTTGAACAGAATAGTGACACACTCTGGTGTCTGCACACTGGGAAGGAGCTCAGGGGCTCCCTCAGCAGGGGTGAGTGGTCCCCACTGCAGTGGCTGTGTCCTGTGACACACAGGGTGTCACAGTGCTGCTGCTGGGCCAGCTCACCCCTGAGCAGGGCACTGAGACTGCTCAGCTGAGCCCAGACTGAGCATCCAAACACCTGTCCTTGGCCAAGACCAGGCCTCAGAAATGGAAGCTGGAAAATGTTTGGTGAAACACACAAAGTACTGGAACAACATGGATGAGATAATGTAATAAAAAGCACTGAGTGCAAGCCAGCAGGGCTCTGCTCCCTGCTTTTTTCTGTGAGCCCCAATAAATGTGCTGTTACATTGGGCAGTTCAGATAAATCAGACATTAACAATAAAAACCCTTCCTAGTTGCTGCACGAAATGAGAACTTAGAAATAAATCATTATTCTGAGACCAGTGTGTGAAATACACAGATCCTGACTCTTAGGAACGGGGAGACTTTTCCAAAGCAGCTGTAGGGAATGAAGTCACTTCTGACAGATGAGCCCTAAACACAGGATTGTGCTGCTGAGTGTTCAGTGCCTGCACTCCAAGTGTGTAATGAAGGTAAATCCTGCTAGGCCAGACCTCTGCTGTGTATGTAAGAAAAACTATTCTTTTCTAAATACTTTTGAGTCTGAAATCCACTTGGACTAATTTTCTTAGAAGGATCTAACTTGCCTTTTTGCCATGTCACGAGTTTTTCCCAGGCTCCACGTTACTCAAGATGTGTTTGCCTGGCCCTTCAGTTCTCCTTTGGCATAGCCAGAATTCTGCACTTGCTGAGGTGAAAGGGCTCCCTCAAAAGCAGAGCTGCTGTGTGTCACTGCCTGCCATTATGGGATGGCTCCATGCCCCGGGCCTCTGCTCCAGGGCATTTATTAGCATGTTTGCACAGCAGTGCCTGACCCAGCCCCGTGTGGGCAGCAGGAATAACCCTGAACTGTGCCTTTCCTCTGGGGGCTGCTGTGTCTGTGAGCTCAGGGCCAGGGGAGTTTCTAGGCACTAACAGCAGCCTCCCTCCCAGTGTGCTGTGTGTGCTCCATTTCGTGCTCCTTCTGCACTGCCAGTCTCTGCCCTTACCCTGGCCATGTTTGTTCTCAACTCAGCAATTTATTACACAAAAACCACCCTCTAAATGAAAGGAATTTAAAACCCACTGCAATCAGTGGAGAAGAGCCAAAGGAACGAGAATTAAATGTAGGCTAAGTTTATCTTGGGTCACATTCAGTCCCCAGTGAAAAGGCTGATTCCTGGCTCAGGAGGCAGAGGGTACCAAGTCGTGGAGCTGTGAAAAGCCCAGCTCCTCACCCCTCAGCACCGTGGGGAGCAGGGACCACCACCTCCCTGCCACGGGGGACAGTCCTGGAGAGGATGAACTGCTCCGGAGTTTCATTCCAAGCAGCTCCTGGTTCAGCCTGCAGTGTCAGACTGTGCCAGCCCAGGCTGCAGAGCAGAGTTTCTCCCCACTTGGTGTGTGCCCTCACACGGTGCCCTCAGCTGCTCCCAGCCTGGCAGAGCTGCAGCTTGCTCACCTCAGCAGCTCCCATTATTTCATTAGCCTGCCTTGGCCTCTCCCCATTACCACATTACACAGCAAAGTGAGATGGATGACTGAAGGCAATTTCGTATTAAAAATTCTCACTAGAGCACTAAAAAGTGAGAGTCCCATTGCTGAAGCCCATTAGTTAGAAAGGACAGGTCTGTGTCACTTCCAGGAATCCAACAGCTGTTGCATCTTTATTTTTTTTTTAAAAAACAGCCAATGGACTTTTTCTCCCAACACAGCCTGGTACCACTAGGAAGTTCTACAGCTGTATCTCCACTAAGAGCCTCACACCAGGCCTGGCATGGTGTTTCCAAAGTCCTGAAGTGCTTTTTGAAGGGCTTGTGTTCTTTATTTTCCTCTAAGGCCACAGTTGAGAAAAGTATGTTTATATAGCAAGTTCTTTCATGAGCCTTTAGAAGGTTTCTTTTTGACAAAAAAAAAAAAAGTCTTTATCAGTAGTAGATAATAAAATTCTGTGTAAAACCTCTTTTTGCTTCCAGATATTACTAATCCCTTGTGTGTTGCTCCTGGTTGAACTCTGCAGACTGGCAGTGTATGAGGCTCAGGAAATGAGATAAAGAAAGGCCTGTTGCCTCAGGCTGGACTGAAAGCCGTGCTGGAAGAGGCCAGCAGGGTGTGAGTGAGCGTGGCCAGGATGGGGACAGGGTGGCACCTCTGTCCTCCCCCCAGAACCCTCCTGGAACAGGCACAGCAGAACAAAGCAGCGGTGCTGCCCACAGAGGCCAGTGAGCATGTGAGCAGAGTCATTAAATAATCGTCACACATCAGGCTGGTGATGCCACACACTTTTCCCTGGGAGATCATTAGAAGTGGCTTCTCTCTCTCTCCCCAGGGGGATCAGTGGGCTTGGTTTTTGCACAACTCCTTCTTCAAGGGAAGAAAATGCACGGGCAGTGTTAATTAACAAGCCATGGATTTTGTGTTGTGCACTGGCAGTGGTGCTGTACTGAAAAATATCACCTTTCAAATAAACCACAACTCACTGCAAACTTTCCTGGCTTAAAGAAAAACAAAATACATCCAAAGCAGAAATGGCAAACAAACCATGAAAATACTTGAAAGCCCCTGATGTCTCTCATCAGCAGGAGCAATGTGCTGCTGTGGTCCAAGGAACTGCAGGCTGAGGAACTCATTTCTGGCTCCAGCCTAAAAGCAATAATTAAGATGAAAGCTTGCACTGCAAGAAGTGGATCTAACAATTTTATGTTTAAAGGAGCTTTTTACAGGATAGGAAATATCCACATTCTGCTTCCTGATGGTGAAAATGAGCGTGTTAAAGCAGGCTGGAGAGCACAGAGGTGCCCTGTGCAGGATGATGTTTCCTCTTGACCCTCCCATCTTTTACCAGCCTGGTCATTTCAGAGCTGTTGGCCTTTCTGCTGCTCTTCTGTTACCTTCACAGCAGGCAGCCCATGAGTGGAGCAGCTGCCAACACCCCACCCCTTCCTCTTTCCAGGGAGGGGAAAACAGCAAAAGGCTCTGATCTGCCTTCCAGTGCCTCTGCCAACCCACCAGTGCACTCACACATCACTGGGTACTCAGAACCTCAGATGAAAAGAAGTCAATAAAAGCACCAGGGCAGCTTGCTGCCAGGAAGGTTTGCCTCAGTTTCTCTAAGAGAACATCTGGGTGCACACTGCAGAATTTATATTTAGCTCATCTGCACTTAGGAGCAAGTTGAGGGCAGAAAAGAGAGGATTAGAGCTTTGCTACTTTACACCTTGGTACAAATTCCAAGAGAGGAACTGTAGGTCAGGTGTGGGGAAGGAATTCTTTACTGTGAGGGTGGGGTGGGGAGGCAGGGGGGCTGTGATGCCCCTGGATCCCTGGAAGTGTCCAAGGCTGCACAGGGCTTGGGGCAGCCTGAGGCAGTGGCCAGTGATGGACAGGATGGTGTTCAGGGCCCAGTCCAGCCCCCCAAATTCTGGGAGTCTGGATGGGTTCCACACGTGCCACAGACTTCATACAGGAACAGAAACACAGGGAGAGGCAGCCCCAAGCACACACTGCCAGCATCTGCCCCTACTGTGGTCACCTCAGTGCTTGGGCCATCTTTGCCCTTGGCTGACAGAAATATTTATTATTTCTTTATATATTTAGCTCTTATTTGCCTATTTATGCAATTATATAACTTACCTGTTATGTATTTCGTATGTATCACAACACACTTCAGTAATGACTATTATAACACATCCTAAAATGAGTAACATAATTTAATGCAATTTTTAAAATATAATTAAATAATACAGATATATTTATAGTTACAGGTATTTATATAACTCCATAACATTTAGTTACCAATAAACTAAAGTTGTTAGAAGTCACAGCAAGCACACAGAAGTACACAAATGTTTCACCTTAAAAAGGTGCAGCATCATCTCACACACTCAGCCTCAATTTTCTGCTGTTGAATTAATCTGACAGGGGAAAAAATGGCTGCATCTTATGGCAAAAGCATAGCAACTGCATCTACTCAGTCAGAAAGCAAACTGGAACTTAAGCCCCCAGCAATTAAAAATAAGCACAGAATAATTATGTCTGCAAACCTTTGAAGAGTTTAAATAGGATATTCATACTTATTATACTATAAAAAGAAAGGGAAATGAGACAACTTTTTGGCTTAGGATGATCTCTATTATCACTGAAATAATTTTTGTCTAGCTGCAAGCATTACACAAGCCAGTATCATTTCAAGACAAGCAGTTGTTATGTTAACAAGAATGACTAAGATGCTTCACTTCCCCCAGCATCCTGTCCTTCAACTCCTCTTCCCTATTTCCCCCCTGGAAGAACCTCTTGTTCTCTGGAATGAATTCAGCATATACAAATGTACTAACATTTCACTGACTGCATCCATCCCAGAGATTCCATCTGAAGCACTTACTGTGAATTTAACCCATCATCTCGGCCAGAAATAAACTGAGTGTAGACAACCTTGTCACTGGAAGGAAATTCAAGATTCAAACCTGCTGAACTATTCTCTGTTCACTCCTCTTGTCCAGCCTTCTGTGTTCTCTTTTGTTTTTTTTAGCTTGTATGCAAGACACTGCCTGCACTGGATATTCCCAGATACAGATCTCACAATAAAATGGGCTCAGTCTGTGACCAAAACAGCAGTTAGTTTTTTTGGAAATCCAGTCAAAGTCAGACTGTGTTACAGTTCCCTGGAGCTGGGTATGTAAAGTAGGCACAGCTTTAAGGTGCCAGTACCTGTACCAA